CAATTAACTTGTTGATCTTCTGTTAATATCTGAAGAAAACGCTTCCTTTTTGGGACGCATTGTGTACATTTAGCTTGCCTGCACCTCTTACTTCCTTTGCACATAGTGAAAAGAATACACTCATGTAACTGTGATGTTGAAAATAAGATATCACAAAGCTGTCAGTGTTAGCCTTGCCCTCCTTTACCAAAACTTGACTTAAACAAATAAGATCTTTTGAGTTTGAAGCTTTACGTTCCTGAAATGCATCACCAGAAAGCTTGTATAGTCATCATACCCCTGTGTTCATAAAGTAGGAGCATCCCTGTCTTCACCATTGCTGGCTAATGTCCACAGGCTATAGGAAATCCTCTTCCAATGTGTCTCCAGAAAAGCAGGGCTTCACCTTTTCATGATGAGATCCTGAGTATGTGCTGAGCAAGGCTGGACTGGGTTTAGCTATGCACAGAGCTGTTAGGCTCGGCTCTCAGCAGACCAGGGACTCCGACAACTCTGATCAGGGCTTCCACCGATTCAGGCATCCCCAGTACAGGAGCGTATGTGTGAAGAAGAGGAGCAGAGAGGAGATGGGAGGGGTAGAGAAACACAGAGAAAGAGGTAGAAAGAGAGAGGGGAACGAGAGGGAGAGTTGTGGCGATGCTGATGCAGCGTCACAAAGGAAGGCAATACCCCTGAGTAGAACAGACACCGGTGGATCCAGCAGAGTAAATGGACCCACCCATACCTATATCTCTCCCAAACTCTTGTTTTCTCAATCCCATGCAGCCCCTCAACAACAGATACTTTTACTTCTTTCAGGACATCCTCCCCTCACTATAACACTCTTTTCCTCCCTCTATATGTTGCCAACTCCCTCCCCATTTCACAGGCTTTTGCTGCCTACATGTTGTCATATTCTCTCTTTCTTCCCACCACTCCCAGCTGAAAATGAACAGTTGTGTTGCTCTCTCATTTGGCCCTGTGGACACAGTATTATCCCTGGCTACACGTATGCATCTGTGACTACACACATACACACACACACAGACAGACCTGGGCACATCACAGCAGAGTGCTGCAGTGACGCTGCAGTACCTCTCTTCCCTTAACTTGGCTTCCCAGAGAAGCAACAGAGCTTAAAAACTTTAATTGGCTTGTAACTGGCATCAAGGCAAACCCATACATGCTGTACACACACACCATATAAATGTTGAAATCATTAGTAGCAAACAGCCAGTGCACCTTAACTCTTTGAAATGGAAACAATCCATTTTAATTGCATGCCTTGGCTCTCAGCTACTGCTGTAGAGATGCTTCCAGTCAGCAATAGAATATCAACGCAAAGATATTCTGCTTATTATATGAAAAAAATAATTGGTGAGCCAATTATATTAAAAATATATAAGAGGAAATATAGAGCCATGAGGGCGCTGTCAAAATGTTAAAAAACATTCTTACTATCTGCTTGTATGGTGAAAAAAAGTGCATTCATACTTTTTCAACAACTTTGCCATCCAGAAACGCTTAAATATCAGACATATGTACAGCATTTAATATTCAATAATGCTCTTTAGTTTTCAATTCTTCGTCATCAGTGTAACAATCAGTAAATATTAGACTGTATTAAAAGGATTAGCAATCTATTTGGATGGAAAATATACTATATACTAAATACTTGCCATATCTTAGTGCAAAGTCAATTGCACACTTAGGGTGAATGGTTTGTAGCCTTTTCAGATTATCCTTCTTCAGTAAAAGTATTGTGATACAAAGGATCACTAAAGGATGCAGCAGAGAGCCCGAACTGCCCAAACTAATGATCCTTACAGTACATGAATTTTCCCACAGTTCATAAAATGTGACCTTTTCTTCTATTATCTTGAGGGTCTGGAAAAATCTCTCTGACCATATGTGGGAGATAAATGTTGCCTGAGACAAAGAATCCTCATTTCAATTAATGTACTGCTCCTTCTCAGTTTCTCAAATGGAACATCATGGTTTTTATTCCAGCTCAACAATGCTGAGTCATACACATCTGTGAGGAAGCTCACAATCTAGGTCCTTCTACAAGTCCTGTTGTATGCCAGTCACATTCTCTGCTAGCAGTAAACTGTATCAGTGGAAACGCTCTCTGAATACTAAACACTGAGGTTAATGAGGGGACTTAACTGAACACCGGCCAACTGAACCCACAAAACACTGAGCCACGTTAAAAGGCTTTCGGGTTTTAAGCCATAAAGAAATTCATCACATTTTCTGGCAGCCCTCAAAAGGTGGCGGCTTGATGAAAAGCTTCCATTACACTGTAGTGAATCAGAGTGATCACTGAACTAAATCTTTCCACAAATGACCATTAACGGGTACACCAGCAGTAAGACAATACAGCACACTACAAAAAGACAACACGTTCAACAATCAACAAAGCAAGTGTAGTGTAGCGCAACACAATGAGCATCATAATTCACACACAGGAATCATCTTATCTATAACAAACACAGCGCCCGACACAATGCAGCACAGCCAAACTCAGCAGAGCAGTACATTGTACAGATCCATCAGCACACTGATGCAGGGCACAGGTTATGAAACATAACTCAATGCTTCTGACAAAAGGGACAGCAGGGAGAGTTTGTTTACACACTGTGTGATAAAAACAATCAATAATATTTCCCTACTGAGGTTTAAGTTGCTTTTCACAGTGTGCTTCCTTTCCTCTAAGAACAAGCTTCAAGCTCACAGCCCATTGTATCAAAGGCTGATAAATATAACAGCTTATAATACAGCTTATAAACAGTCCAGGTATGTAAGTATATTTCTGTGTATATTATCACAAAGGGAGGAGAGGAGAGCTGAGGTGAAGCAGTTTAGATGCTTTTAATATTTTATCACAGTTATATTTGTAAACTAGGAAGCAACCATCCAATATGAAGAACATATCAGCTGGAAATGATCAATCAACATACCTTCAGTCTTCTTCCATTTTTGGTCAATTCTCAGCTAAACTCGTGTGTCCTGTGACACCTGCTTTTACTGCTTTAATGCCCATAAAATAAATCATATTTCAAAGACAGTGAGGTGTACCTAGAGCAGTGATTATAAAGTACATTTTGAATTATTCCATAAAGCTTACTGCAAAACAGATTAACTGCCTTTTATATCCTGAAACGGGGGTGGACAGGGCTTTCGTTTCCTATTCTTTGAATTAAAATATCTATCTGTACAAACAACATTTGCAATTACTGTTTGGAGTATTGATATCCATCTCTTTCATTATATAAGAGTAAAACTTAAGCTAGGCTTGTTGAATAAAAGATAAAGCTGTATTCCTTGTAGTTATTTATAGTTTTGGTGTTCTCTGAATACAAACTATTTTATGTTCATTTCGCTGCTTATTTCAAGCAGCAAGTTATCTTTTTCTCAACTCAGTACAAACAAAAATCCTTTGTCTGCCAGTTTGCTGTTTATGGTAAATGAATACTCATTCCCTAGAGCACATCACTGTGATTATGGCACCATAAGCGTCAATGACCTTTCCTTTACAGTGGCATCCAAAGATTAGTCAGCCAAATATGCCTCAGCCAAAATCAATAACCCCCCTTAACCATCAACAGCTTTGAAGATCAGAGACACCTTACCTCCATTGCTCCCTCCAGCTCCTAAACACCTGCTTTCCAGGAGACTGTGTAAGCAGTTTCATCTCTTGCAAAAGGAAATGCAGAAAACTGTTGAACAGGCCGTTACACAATTCACAATACTTGGTCCATATTTGGTCCTGTGGTAGCCTTGAATAAGGAAAGGTTAATGGACTACCTGTCCTGCCGAGGATTAAACATTTTCAGGCCCTCTAGAGTAACAAAGTGCTGCAGAGGAAACCTTGAAGTTCATTTATGTGCTGACAAGATTAATCTTTTACAATTAGTCTGAAGTTTAGAGACCTTTATATACTGTTTTCTGTTGCCGTTTCTGTCTCTCTTTCCTACAATCTCTATCAGATGGCAATCACTCTCTTGTTCTCTGCCTCCTGTGACTCCATGTGCTGCCATTCGCTCTCGCTTTCACACTCTCTCTGCGACTCACATGTGTGGCGCGTCCTCCAGCCTCTCAAAAGTGACCTATGAATTTTAACTTGAAAGGCACATAATGTGTTAAATGCCACTCAGTCCATGACATCACTAAAATTGTGCAATCATATTTCCAGGGGGGGAAATGCTCCTCTTAATATTCTTTATTCCTTACAGTCTTTCCTCCTTATTCAGGCTGAGATTTGTTTTCAACAAACAATGTAGTGATCATTGTCACAAAATAGTGTCAATTTAACAACTCTGATTAATGAGTATCTCATTGCCTCTGTGACACTTTATCCTTCTGTCTCCCACATTATTCACTCAAATTCTCTCTCTCTCTATTTCCCCTCTCAACGTCTCATCAGCTGTGCTCTCTTGTGCATACTCTCTAGTGAGAGTAAGTAAGTGAAAAACTGCACAGTCTGTACAGAAGAATCCCAACTTAATGTGGCCATGAGGTTTGTATAAACTACACTGTAGGTTTGATGTTAGGAAATAAATGCTTCTAAACTGATATTTTGATGCAGCATAGGCCTTTTCAATAATAGCAGGATAAAAAGCTTTATCCAAGACATTTTGCAATATGGTGGGAATCCATGTGGGGGTGGGTGGAAATACTGAGCTGCAGAATCTGCTTTGCAAAACATTTTTGTTTGTTTTAGTTTACTAACTCATGTTCTATGTCTGCTATATCTAAATTGTAAGGATAAGAAACTACTGAGGCCATTGTGAAAGTGTGAGCTGGTTTTTGGTTGACGGAAAATGTTTTGAAGGCTTATCCAATTATCATAACCTCGAAACAGCATCAACACAGAATAGTCTGGATAAATATGCGTCCTTTCGTTCTTCATCTTTATTCTGCCTTAAGTAACATTTCTAGGCTATCGCTAATTGTGAATTAAGTGTAAAACCTTCGGTAGGATCCGTGGCTGACCAGTGGAGGGCAGCAAGGCTCATTCTCAACAGAGAAGGAGAAAGCAGAAGAAGAGACACAACATCAACACACTAAGTGAAAGTATGGCAGATGACAAGGTCGGTGTCCTCCACTTTCGACGCTAACTTTACATTATAACTTAGATGTTTGGTGTTACTGTATTATTGTATAGTAACACTTACTGACGGTGTCATCCCGCTGTCTGCAATTAACGTTAGCTGATGAAGACAGTTCATGTTGTTAGCTTAGCTTAGATTATCTAGCGTCAAGTAACGTTAGTAATTTAGCGGTTATCTTTGCTAATTAACGTTATTTTATATAAATATAACTACGATAGATCACTTTAAACATATGTACGATGCTGTAAACACAACAAACATTAACAAGCTGTTGAAGGAAATAATTGACTGATGGATAACCGCTAATTAACGCTAAATTAGCGGACTTAAGTTAGTAATTAGTTAGTTAATATTAGTTAACTTAGTAAGAACTTTGAAAGTTTGTAACGATTGTTTAAGTTATCTTACAATCTGACCTCATGTTATCTCAAAATATAAATGTAGCGTTACTGTACGCAACAAAAACTGAAGAGGTTTAACATGAACGATAGATGTCAGAACCACAGTGACTGCTAGTTAACGTTTATTAATAATAGTTTTAACGTTAATAACGTTACATTAGATTAGTCTTTTCATAAGTACCATAACTAATACCATTATTAATAACAACCGAGGGAACTAGTTTTGTTAAAGCTGTGTTATATTCTTGTACAAATTGCTCTGAAAGTGATCTCTGTCATTGTTGGTGTTTTCCTTTAAGAGATGTGAAAACAGGGGCGATATAAGTCTAGAAACAAGTCCTAAAATGTCCTCAGATGGTCTGTTAGTAATATAAATGTTCTGTTATTTTACATTACTTTCTCTACTGTCTTCTAATTTATAAGTGCTAATGCCATGCAGCTTTTCCCTGTATGTTTTATACTTCTGTTTGTCATTATTGTGGTAATATAAAGTTACAATGTCTCATGGTGTGCTCTCTGTTTTTGGGAGACCCTTGCAAGTGACACTAAACTGTTGTTTGTTTGTTTGTTTGTCTCTGTGTGTATATATCCGTGTGTGTGTGCAGAATCCTCTGAGCCAGCTCAAGGATCTGGTGGAGCTGAAGGACCAGCTGGAAGACATTCAGAGACGGGTGGAAGATGAGATACAGGCTGGGGTTCCTCCAGTAAGGCTCACATATGTAACGTCACATGCTCAAAGGCTAGGCAGCTTTAAAAACATATAAAACTGCTAGTGTACAGAAATAAAACCACTGGTCAGACTGCCAACTTCAAGGTCTAATCTCTCCTCTCCTGTCCCCTGTAGGGAGGCAGTCTTCTTGCTTCTCCTTTCCTGAAGGGTTTTCTGGCCGGGTACATTGTTGCAAGGCTACGCTCCTCAGCGTTGATGGGTGTTGCCGTAGGAACGTGTACAGGAATCTTTGCGGCACAAAATTATGCCGTTCCCAACATTGAAAACACCGTCAAAGACTACATACGCAACCTGAGAGGAGGACGCAAATGAGAGGAGAGCAGGAAAAGTAAGAAAACAAGAAAGGAGTCTTCAAGAAGAGGATGCCGGTACAGCTTCATACGGGAACAGATATGTATTTCAAAATTTCAAAACTTTTCAGTAGTTATTATTTTCAGCTTCCACATGGATCAGTAAATAGAAAAAAATCTACAATCTAAAGTCAACTTATGGAGTATTTCTTTCATATTTTTGGGGATTCAGTTGAAGCATATTCATCTGAACCCTTCCTACATGAGTGTTTAGAAAGCGTGACTGAAATACATTTTGTAATAAATAAAATATTGGCAGATCAGTTCATTTAAACCCCCATATTCCTTTCCAATGCGGTAATTGATTGAATTTTTGACAAACTGCTGCCTACAGTAGTCATTACAGCTGCTATAATTGATTTAATTCATTCTGACCTCAAACCTATCCTGCCTGAAAACACAATATGGGCTGAAGATTTATTGAAAACATAATGACACTATATATATATATATAT